TTAAAGGTTTTATGGTCTGACAGGTCTAAAACTGCTTGTCGCCGTTTTTACATGTGATAATTTACGTGCAGGGGTATTTTTTTTTTTGAGAAGTTGGGATATTTTTTATATATATGGCAAAAGTTGGGCATTATTTTTATTCTCCCTTTTAAAATACAAAATAGCGTTATCTGAACAGTTAATAGTTTCTGTAACTCACTATACTCTCCATCCCAAATTATTTTATTAGATTGACTTTGCTGCCAAAGTGCACAATAAAATAGCTTGGTACAATTGTTTTACGTACCGCTACATGTGTCAGAAACAAGTATGATTACTGCTTCGCTCATCTTCGGCATACATTTGTCTAACTTCAGCGGCTTAAAGCTATCGCATCGTGGATCCTTGCTCGAGCGGCAAAGGTAATGAGCCATCGAAAAAGCTGTTCAGGATCTCCAACACAGACTCAAAACTTGGTCGCTGTTCGGGAGAACTTCCCCAGCACAAAGTCATGAGCTTTTTGAAAAATGACGGGCACTCTTTCGGAACAGTCGGTCGCAAATTATTGTTGAGCACGCCAAGAGCAGCTTGAATTTGCGTGAGGCCCTCGTATGGACACTGTCGAGTGATAGTCTCCCAAACGACAACGCCGTATGAAAAGACGTCAGCCTTTTCTGTGTACTTTTCGGCAGCGAGCACCTCAGGCGCCATCCACTGAGTGGTGCCACAATTGCCCGTCATTGTCTGAAAATGCGCACGAACGCGTGCCAAACCGAAATCCGAAATCTTGAGCGCGTAAGCTGAGTCAATTAGCAGGTTCGGGCTCTTTAAATCACGATGTAAAATTGGCGGCTGAAAAGAATGCAGATAATTCATGCCTAGCGCAGTGTCACGAGCAAACCTAGGTAAAATCATATAAGTTATAAAATACATCAAATGGCGTTTCCTGCTATAAACTTACCTGTATTGCTTTATGATATCGATGACAACATCCTGGCGGAGCACATTCCAAAGCGAGCCACGAGGTAAATACTCAATCACAAGACAGCGCGTCGGTGGCTCTAAACAAGCACCCATTAGCAGGCAAACATTTGGGTGTCTAAGAAGGAAAATAGCGCAGTGTGACTATTAATCATACCGCATTTACATATGGTCAGCATGCGGTCATACCTTAATATACTCATAATCTGCACTTCAGCCTCAAACTCTTCCAAAATGTCCATCGTCAGATACTGATAGACTAAAATTTTCACAGCCACCGCAGTGCCGCGCCATTTGGCGCGATGCACCGTTCCAAATGCACCTTGACCGATCATCTCTTTTATTTGGAGCTCCTTAAAGTCCACATGCAAATCGTCATTTTTAGCCTTAGACAACTTAGGCCTCTTCCTCCGCGGATGATTTTTAGCAGCAACTGCAGCAATTATATTTAGTCCTGCTGCTTCTGTAGCCCCGATAGCACGATCTACAAGCGCATCGGCCTCTACTACCTGAGCCTCTTCAAAAAAGTCAGCTGTAGATTCGTCTATCTCGTCAGTCAAAGGAGCTGCTGACGTTCTTACATACATCGGTGAGTGAAGAAACAGCGGGATGCGGGCCTTACGTGCAACTTCAAGTTGCATTTGGGCAGGAGGCGCTACATCGCGCACAAATTGGCGCTCAATATTTACCTTTAGAGTCTTTGCGTCAACTGGCGCATCTGTCAAGCCTGCGGATTCCAACAAAGCACCACCACGGTACTGTTCTCCAATGCATAGTGGCTTCTTTCCACGTTCAGGGGTGTCAGCAATACTGAGCAGATGCTCGTCAGAGGGGCGATTCTCCAGGTCATAAAAATCGTCGTTTTCGGTATCAAACGTTACGCTTTCGGGCAATTGATTTGGAGTGTCCGCGTTTTGAGGTGGTGACAAATACTCCGTTTCTTCGTCGAAATCATTAAATGTAATGCGGTGTTGATTTCGTCCAGAGTCTTGCGGTTGTCGCTGCTGTCCACACTGGTCGTATATATCGCCTTCGTAAATGACAGTGGGAAGTTGATCCATCCCCACATTGAGGTCAGCAACATCAGCAGCGACTACTCCGCTCTTAGCTTTATTGCCTGGTATGGATGACGTTGCAGTGGCACTGTGAGTTCTTCTCCTCATTGGCTGCTTTTTAGCCGGTATGTAGGTTGCTCCCGACAGAGCAGTGGCATCTAAAGCTGCCGCCACTACAGCTGGGGACGCTGCCTGAAAATCTGCATATCCATGATGAGGCGGAAACTCCTGCTGTGTCTGTTGAGTTATCTGCTGCTTCTGGTTAAGCTGTTGTCGCATCTGTCCCGGTCCTCTCTTCTGCTGCTGAGTCTGTAGTCTATTAGCAGTTGACGATGAATGCAGAAATGGCATCGTATCATCACTACCAACTGGGCTACTTTTGTGATCTACGATTTCTTCGTCGCTCCAAGGCTGCTCTCGAATGAATTTGAGGTACATAGCAATGGCCAACACTAAAAAACACAGCGATCCGGACAGTACAGGGTCCATTCCAAAAGTTAGGTGAAGTGAGGGACGAGCGGCTTTTAGAATGTGATGTTACGCAGTACAGCCACTTCACCACGAAGTAAGTAGAAGTGAACACCGAATAAATGGCCCCCGAGTCTGGTCTCGCCACTAGGGCGGGAGTTGATGCAAAATTTGGGTTATAATCAACCCCGATAAAATGTAGTGTGGTAAACTAAAGACATGTTGGTCTGCTTAAAAACGAAACATACACCTTCTACAAGCCATCGTCACCCTTAACGCCAGGTAGCTCCAATGACAAGATGTGGTGCAGCGCGGCCTCAAATGTCGCAAGGTAATAACCGGACTCACTCTGTCGCTTTTCAGGATCGCATAAACGATTGAGCAGTACTTGTGTGAGAATCGGGGCCTCAAGGTCACTGTGGACGATGACGTAAATAAATATGGGCAGGAAGTCGTCACCACTCAGCACTACCTCTTCCTGTATCTTCGTAAATACTTCACGCTTTGCCCCCTCCTGATCGTAGATTTTATCTTGGACGCCTGTATTGCTTTCAGAGGAAGCCTCGGATTCATCTCCAACAGTCAGGCCCCGTGACGATCTGTGGGAGCCGCTACTCGAGGGCGATACCATCCGATTCGTTGATATCGGGGAAGTTTGAGGCTGCAACAACGAGCCGGCCATCGGCGTTGAGTTCCGTCGGCGGTGATGTGGCGGCGTTTTCGAGTATGTTGCACGTTCACTTTTGTACAGCGCGTGAATCTGATGAGCAGTAGCCACTAGCTTTCGCATCTTGTCAGATGGTAAAAACGCTTCGTCTATCTCCTTGATGACATTCACGACGGATCGCCAACTACTCAACGAGATTTTATCCATTGGAACACCAAAGTAGCTTTGAGGTTTTCCTTTGAGCTGAAATACGCGCGTACGAAGTTGACGCTCTTCATGACGCACATGCTGACGAAGATACTGCGTTAAATCCCACATCAAAGGCACGCATATACGGTCTTCCAGCTCATGCCGAATCGCATCCGACAATAATTGGTGCAACCTGTCCTGCTTGCTGACAGCATCATTTGTCATTAGACTCACAAACGAGCTGTGTCGGCCTATCTCTGGGCTGCCGCTATGATCAGTTAGTAATTGCTTCATCAACCGTTGAACCATTAGCTCCATTTCCGCGAATCGGTGATCTAGCATATACTCCTGAACACCGTCCAAGATCTCGCCAATTCCATCCAATACTTTTTTTTCGGTTTTAAAACCATTCCGCTTCACTTTAGCAAGAAACTTTTCACAAGCTTTACCCTCAGGAGACGCGAAGTCATTCACAGTGTGGTACACAAATACGCGAAGTTCACGCAAGATAGGCTGCGTGCGATTTCGCTCGAGAATGCCAACGTGAGGTACATCTAGAAACTGTTGAAGTTGTTTAAGCGCGACCCCATGCAAAAAAGTAAGCGGCGATGGAGCCACAAGTGCTGCAGTGGTGCGCAAAAAATTTTCTAGCACAGGGGCGCGATCGTACGCAAGCTGATTAGGGGAGTTTCTGCCGTGTCCACGGCGAGTCGGGAAAACACAATCATTTAGCTTGGTAGATAGACGGCTTAGCTGTAAAGTTAAATAGAAACGCAAGCACAATATTATACATGATACTACACACCATCAGCTTACAAATACTACTCACTTTGCGGTAGAGTTTATAAAATTCGCGAAAGCGTTTTCGAGTAAACCATACGACACCGCTCTCCACATCAACTACACGGACAATGTATTCCTATCAAAGTCAAATCAAGATAATCATGCGGCGTTTGAAATACAAGCAAAGTGTCAGTCATGGCGACCTGAAGAAAGGATACGTACCATATGGCCACTGTTACGGGCCGGTTTACTTTCTTCGCGAAAAATTCGGATGGACAACGCATGACGAATTCCTAAAATAAAACATCTTAATCAACAGTGTATCCTGTCATGCCTGTCAGCCTACCTTTTGCCTTTAAGATAAGCAAATGCCATTCGTGATCTGACATCATGCTATTCATGTTTATTGTCGTGTCCATAAGCTATACAAGGTACACCAATCACGCAAAATTCAGCAAGACCCCAATCGTATAATTTTCCAAACGTACCATTTTGGTCGGTTGGATCCTGCACAAGATCATCGAGCGCAGGTAGTCAAGCTCGTGGCTCGAAATTACACCGCTGCGATAAATTTCACTGGCTTTCGTTAGCAACTCAAACATCAGATGCGGCTCCCGATGGCGAATGCGCTTTTCTGCTTCCGATAGATTTAACTTGCTCTTCTTAATAACATCAATGTGAGCAACATCAAAAATACTTAAGCGCTCATTACGAAGCTCCACTGGAAGAAACTTTTGGTTCATTGAATCGGCTACAATCTTCTGTTTAGCCAAGATTGCAGCATGATCAAGCATGGGAGCAATCACCTCATCGGTAGAAGCCGCGTCGTCAAACTCCTTCCCGTAGAGTGTGCCGTCATCCTCCGCTAACGTGTTTTCCGACCTGCTCGATAAATTGTGTTCAACATCGCTTAATAATCCGTCGCATTTTTCTTCTGCTTCGCTTTCATCTTCCTTTTCACTGTCTTCACACTCTTCCTCATCGTCTCCGGCAAGGCCTTGGGCTGACGATGCAGCTTGAACTACATCACCATTTCCAATATCATCTGGCAGCTGCGTCGATTACATTTTATAAGATTAATAACGACCTCCTATGGCATCACCTACGTGACAGTTATCCTTACCCTCAAAAAGTCTTTGGGCAGTGGGTTCTTTATCGGTTTGACAGCATCTTGTTGTACCTCTTCGCCTCCCTCGGTTTGCTCCATGTTGAGTACTGCCGCTATTGTGTCTTCCATGATAAATTGATTGACCTCCAGCATGACTTGCAGTGTCTCCCTCTCCCATTTAGGAAAGATCGAGAGCAAAATTTCCACACCACGCGACACAGCCGCTGGACTGGGCGAAAG